ATATATATATATAAGCAAATAATTTTTAGCCTGATGAAGCAGAAAATATTGTGATCTGCTGCCTTATGCTTCCATGTGAAAACTTATTTTTGGGAGGGCAGATTTCATCTCAGCTAAATAACATTTTCACCGTAAATTAGTCGAGCAAATTGAAAAAGTGACGCGACGTTACCTGAGGACCATGAGGTTCTGAACCATCTCTTTTCCCAGGTAGTGATCTATGCGGTAGATCTGGTCTTCCTTGAACAGGTTGGAGAGGTGGGCTGAAAGCTCCTGGGAGCTCTGGAGGTCATGACCAAACGGCTTCTCAAAGATGACCCTGTTCCAGCCTCTGCTGTGAACAAACCAGATTAGAAAAAGTAAGCAAAAAAAAAGAAAAAAAAAAGAAAAGAAGAGAGAACGTGCAACGCTGTTTTTCAGGACGGGAAATGTACTGACTTGCAACTCATGCAGTGGTTTCTGATGTTTGTGCTGACATGGTGGTAGACAGTAGGGGGCAGCGCCAGATAGAAGAGACGGTTGGCGGTTTCTCCTCCAGGCAGAAATGACAGATGGCTGTTGAGTCGTTCAAAGGAGCTGCCAACGTCATAGCGACCACTCAGATAGGAGTTCCTCTTGAAGAAGGCTGATAGACTGTCCAGCTCCTCTTCAGTGACCTACCGAAGAAACCTAAAAGTTATCCCTGAAAACACTGAATATGCCTAAAAAGTATTCCCACCCCTCGATCTTCACGTTTTGTCTCTCTGCAACCACAAACGTCAGTGCGTTTATGTGACATTTAAAGACTAAATTGTTGTCTATCCATTTTTAATTATCACTTTGTCCATGAGGGGTCACAGTTCGACTGGTGTCTGTCTTCATCAGCCGTTGGGCGAGAACTTTGGTACACCCTGGACTGTGACTAGTCCATCACGGAGTGAAGCGGAGACACACACAGGCTCAGACTTAAGTCTAATTTAAAATGGCCAGACGAGTTAACATGAATGTTTTTGACTGTGGGAGATGAAAGCAGGAGAAAAAAAACAAACACACATGCAAGGGAGAACAAGCTGCATGCAAAAAGGCCCAGGCCAGAACCTGGGTCTCTCTTACACACAGTGTTAGTTCAGCAGTGATACAAACAATCTTACATCCTAAAAATAATATGTTGTTTTTATTTATTTATTTATTTATTTATTTTATAAATAAAAAAAGTGCTTGGTGTTTTTAGAATCAGCCACCTGAAAATTGGGAAATCATATGTCCATGTCTCTGCCAGCACTGGACATTGGTGGAAAGCATCTATTAACAGGAATGTTAAATATTTATTAAGATTTTGGTCTGTACTTTGACTGATCCATTTGAACATATGAACATGCTTTGACATAAACCTTTTCATTGTACCTCTGCGTTAATATTTAGTGTTGATTTAGTGCTGGAAGGTGAATGCATGCTCCAGTCTCAAATATTTTTCCACCTCCAACAGGTTTTCCTGTTGGATTATTTGGCTTAATTCATTTCTGATCAATATTGAGAATTTTTGGCATCTTCCGACAGCAGCACTTTCCTCCATGTTTGCCACACTTTTCAGATTTTCATTAGAAAAATCTTTAGATATTACAGCATAGTACTACTACTGTGTGCTGGTCCAAGTTTGTTGGATCGTAAACAAAAAACTTCTAGGGGTGTGAATACTTTTACAAGGCACTGTCACCTGTAAGAGTGTCTCAACAAAGATGAATAAATACCTTCATATGAGGAAGACATGCCGCCTTAATTTTCTCTACAGTCAGGTCAGAGCGGGCAAATCCCACAATGTAGATGTCCTCTGGGAGCAGGCCATCTTTGAATAACCACCTGAACAACAGGCAGAGTCAATCCAAAGCAGCCATGTGGAACGCTTTGTCCAAGGGTCAAACTCTGAGGTAAACAACTTTCAAGCAGCTCTGCAAGTCAGGTAGGATGTGAGCTGCAGGTTTTCACTCACCACAAAGTCGGGTAGATCTTCTTCTTGGCAAGATCTCCCTGTGCAAACAGTACATATAGTAGCTTTAGTCAAAAGTCTCAGCAGCTTTTACAATCGGGCACAAAGCAATCAATCATGAGTCCAAAGTAGAGATAAGAGCTGGAAAAAAAAAAAAACAGTCAAAGTCTAGGAGAAAGAAAGAAAAATGTGTTTTGATAAGAAAAAAAGAAAAAAGAAAAAATGTGTTTGACATTTTAACTATCTTCAATTTCCTGACGGTTTTCAGTCTCTCTTTGTACTCATTCATGTTGCAAAATTTACATGTTTTTTCATCTGCTCATTCTCTCATTAGCACAACTTTGTCTTCCAGCACGGTTACAATTTGTTCAAATCCTCAATAGATCTGGCTAAGGACAGTCAAATTATTGTCAGGTTTTACTCACAGACGCCCCCAGGATGATAAATGTGTGTGTGCTGGAATGACTCGACTGCTTGTCTCCATAAAGCTCCTTCCTGAGCTCTCCGAACACCTCCGACCGAGTTAAGGGCTCCATAGTCCTCTCCTGAGCAGCCTGCAGTGACCCCCCCAAGTAAATCACAGACCGACCTGCTGAGTTTTACTTTTTCACTGTGGCCTTGACAATCTCCGCAACTCTGTGCTGCCACCTATTGCTGCAGAAGGAAATGCATACCTGCTGAAATGTGTGTCATTTCTTATGGCATGAATTTTTTAGGACACATTCTGTTCTCCGCTTCCTTTCGTTTGAAGGAATCTTTACACTACTTCACATCCAGTTTGGTGATCTTGTGCATTCTGCTGAACTCACATTGCAGGTTTTGTCGGACAAGACAAAAGCCGTTTTCTGGAATGTGTATCTCCAGAGCCACTCCCTAGATAAACTTTCAGAAGACATAAATCGGCGCTTCTGAGAAGCTATACGTGCTACATAGAAGGAAAACTTCTTGTCAGCATGAAAAGACATTCTTAACACAAAATCTTTAGGTTTTGGTTTAATATCTGTATCAATCATATACATTTAGTTTATCCTTCAGCATACAAAATATCAGACAATTTTCCCAGATTTTGTGCAAGTATGGTAAACAGTCAACAGACCAATTTCACTAGAAAGACATATATTCAAAAATGTGCCTTTGGAAATTGTTTCCTAGATGGTTAACAGAAAATAACTTATTTATAATAAAAAGTTATTTATAAAACATCATAAAATCATAAAAAATATTTTTAAAAAAACTAACATTCCATCCTCTTGAGATAAAATATTTCCACATTCATCACCGGACACAACAAAAATCACAATCGCATACGGTTCTCTTTTTTTTTTTTCATATTAGAGTGTAAAACAAGCGAATTAAAGTCATTGCAGTTCGGAGCCTTTTTAAAGCTGCCACTGCTAAATGCAAAGTTCACACATGTCCAAAGATCCCCAAACCACAGTAAGAAGAGTTTCCTGAGTGTCATCCATAAATAAAATAAAAATAGTTATACCCAATTGAGGGTTTTCTGTGTTTTTTCCTAAGCCAGGCATCGTCTCTGTATTGTCCTCCATCTTTTCCTGGTCACCAGTATGGCCACTTGCCCAAAGCTTTCCAGCATGTCCGTTTGGATCTGCAATGCTTCAGCTCTGAGCTGCTGAGTCTGATAACAGGGAGGGGACCAGAGGTCACCTAATGGGCAGACTGAGGGGTCAAGAGAAACTCCATTGCTGGAAGGGATCTGCAGCATTACAGTGGTCCATCTGAACCTGACCCCCTCTCAGCTGTAGGCACCTCCCACTGCTGGGATTCTTCAGAAGACTTTCCTGAAACAAAACAATAAGAAAAAAAGCCACATGAAAGCTCAGCTAAGTGGAATTAAGGCACTGAACAATTGTGTTTATTCAATATATGCAAAAACAGATTTGACATTCTGTTCTCCTTTTCATTAGAAACCCCTGGCACCTTATGCTGCAGCTAGTGAGACTAGCTTAGCATGCACACACTTCTGGGGCTAGGTAGACAACTAATTATTTCGCCATTTTTCTTAAAGGGTACGGAAGTTAAGACCTAAAGCTTTTCTGGTTGTAACTGTTGCGCCATGTTTTTCTGAGAGACGTTGCTAAACAGCTGCTGTCTGGGCTGTACCAGCAGAGGAATGAAATCCGTCTGGATGAGCCCAAGACTGCAAACCTTTGATGGCTGCTTACAGCCATCGTCTAGAGGAAAGTCGTGTAGACTGGTTTTCTAATGTAGAAAAAGAGAAAATCTTTACAGCATTGCACAAAAAAATGTTGGTTTCTGCAGATAGTTTTACTGATTTTTGATAACATTTAAAGTGTAACGTGCATCTAGGACTGCAGGGAATAGTTGAGGGCTTTGCAGATGTAAGCGAAAGATGCTACTTGTTCTGCTTACTGTCTGTCTAGGAAAACCAAAAATAAATGACATCAGTGCAGGGACATTCTGCAAATCAAGAGTAAACTGAGCTGTAAATGTTTCTAATGTTTCCTTATAAATGCTTCCTGAATACATTTAAAAAATTGAGACATAAAATATTATAGTAAATGTAAGAGTTCATTAAATGTCTGAATATTGTGAACGTTTCCCCATTTCACATTTTATCAGAGCATCATTTTAAACAATTTTGAATAAATTAGGTAAAAAGAGACCTTATAAAAGTTAAAGCTCCATTTGAACAAACCTTATTTTACAAAGCACATAGATGTAAATGTTTGTTGCTGCCCATAACGGTACCCGTGTTGAAGTAAGGATGAGAAGCCTCGCTCACCTCTGTAAAGACCCATTCCTGCTGAGGTGACAAACTGGTCCCCCTCCCCTTCAGCTTGCACAACTCTATCTTCACTGGCTCTGACTGATCGTTGGCATGGAGACACAGCTGCTTCCCGATGTTGTGACGCAGCTCTTTGTGGGACGAATACTCAAAGTACTGCAAATACAATCATCTAGTTAGAACCGACCAAAATAGATAACATCTGATCATCTTCCAATCTTTTTTTTTTCTTTTTTCTCCATTTCCTGCTAGTAAATGCGAGATCCTGTACCTGGTTTCCTCCCATGTTGTGACACGGGTACATGATCACAGCTTTACCCCCCTGGTTGTTCTCGCCAACATCCAGGCAGGTTTTAGATCCAGAGTTTCTGATCTATGACAAACATGGACACGAATCGAGGAGAACGCAAACTGAGCAGTGCGTCTAACATAGTTCATCACATTGTTTGTGTTCAGAAAAATCGACTCACTGATCCGAATTTTTCTGGCTTTAGGTCAGGAATGAAGATTTCTGGGTAGATGGTGTTCAAGTACCAGGTGAAGTTCTTGCAGTGAAGCCTGTTCCTCAGGTTGAGGCGATCAGAGATGTCTCCATATTTATTCTATTGTAAAACAACAACAAAAAAACTGGTTAGCGGTCAAAACATGACAAGTCGTATTGGAGCTAGATGGTGGAGAGGAATTAGAAGACAGACCTCACTGGCCATCACTGCAGCGTTTTTGTTGCGCCGATAGAAGATCTTCTTGAAATCATCCATCCAGACTTCGGCCAGGCGCACCTGGTTGCGAGTGATGACCTCGGTGCCCTTGGGGAAGGTGTGCGGACTTTTGGTGCGGAAAACGTGGCCCACCACCGAGCAGGGAATGATCTCCAGCTGACCCCCGCACTGCCACACCTTCACACATAAATGTTTGCAGAAAATGTCAAGGTAACTTAATGATTAATGTGAGAGAGGAAGGACGAGGGGGGG